AGCTTTTTACCATCAGCTATATATACAAGTACAACTGTAAAAGAAGAGTATTTGTATCCAATTATACGAATACTAATCATTTTATACCTTTGTGATCAATGATAGTATTACTTGGTAAATCAAACCATAATGGTGTCCTGTTCATATTACCAATGTATTGTACTGAATAATCATATTAAATCCTTTTATGTAAAACATAACTTAAAAAAACATTTTGTTTTTCAAGTAAATCTGGTAGCAATTGTTATATTACCATTATTCTACAATATTCAAAAAGATCATATCTTCTCAAAAAACCATCAAGCTATTTTCTTGAAAATTTAAATTCAATAATATTTGAATTATTTGCTAAAAAATCTCGATCTTCAGACAATGTAATGGCTTTTTTGATAATCAATTTTTGACTAACAGAATTTTGATTTGTTCTTCTTTTACTAACCCATGTAAATAAATCATTTTCTAAGCTTGGATATTTAGCAGATTTACCTGAATGAAGTTTAGCAAAATGAGGTGCAGTTACTAATAATTTTTTTTATTTTTATTCCAGTCACGCACTTGTTTAGGTTGAATATTAAATTTTTTAGCAGTTTCATGCTTATTTTCCTTATTATTTTTCAAATAATGCACTACCATTAATTTTTCTTTTACATTTCATTGTCACTATATCTTTTGTGATAAGCGGTTACATGCTTTTTTATTTCTTTTATTACTAATAACAAACATTTTTTATTTTTACAATTTTTCGCGTTATAAATAAAAGACAAAAAAACAAGAATATACAGAATTTATTACACAAAAAATAGAAATAAAACACGATTTGTATGACTTAAAGAAATGTTTAAATAACTGGATATTATACATGGTAAGTATTCAGGGTACTTTACAAATCTTATACCCCTCCTATGCACAGTACTCGCACTATATTTCCCCTTGTAATATATCTTGAGTATAACTTATAACTTCTCTTAATATGTATCATACCTAAGGTACTATGACCTCTGCAATACGGTAATAATATTTTATATTTATTTTTTAATTTTTAAAAAAATTTTATAAAGAAAACTAAATATAATTTTTTATAAGCTCTAGATTTTATAATAGTTATCATCTTTCTTAAATTAGATAAAAATTTTATTTATTTAAATAAAAATTTTATACATATATAATCTAATTTAATAAAATTACTTTAAAAATTAAAGTTTTTAATTTATAACTTAATTTAATTCAATTTATTAGTACTTTAATTAAAATTATAAGTGATATATAATTTTCAAATCTAAACATATATGCAAAAAATACATATTAATGAGAAAATTATAATAATTAATACACAAATATTATATTTTTATTAACAATATATAAGAAATATTAAGTGCAAATTATATATAAATTTTTTAAAGAATGCAATAATTCACTAATAACATTGTAATAGAAAAATATTAATTCAAAAGATCAGTTAACATATTATGATATATATAATCAGAAGTTATATTAACTATATTATATTAGACAATAAAAATAGCAAAAATAAAAGAAATAAATTAAATAAAAGTTATGCAAAAAACCCAAAAGCCTTCAGAAATTTTTTTTATATTACTAATCATTTTATATTCTTAATCATTTATTATTTGTAATCAATTAGTATTTAATTTATTTATATTAGTAAATTTAATATAAATAAGATAGTTCTAGAATTTGATTAAGGCAAATAATTTTGAAAAAAACAATTCTATAAATAATTGAAGGATTCAATTAGTTTTATCACTAACATATTCTAAATATACATTGTTATTTGAAATAATAATTATTTGTAAATCCTTTAAAACTCTTTTTAAAGTATTGATTAAAGTTAAATCCCTTTATTAATTTTGCATTAATACTAATTTTTAGTTATTAATATCATAAGATAACAATATATATTATTAAAATCATATATTAGTTATATATATTTTATAATAAAAAGAAAATATAAAAAAAAATTTTGAATTAATATTAGATTTATAATTATTTATAAAAAAAAGTTTATATTTAACATAAAAAATATTTTATTTTTTTATAATTTTTTTTTTATATTATAAAATAAATATAATTAAATATTTAAAAAAATTTTATTTTATAAGCTAAATATTATTTTTTTAGTAAAATAAATTCAGATTTAATATTAATTTAAAAAAAAATTTTTTTGGTAGTTTTCTTTTTTTTACTAAAATAACTAAATAAATAACATATATTTTTTAAGTAAAATTAATATAATTATTAGATTAATTATAATAAAATTAATATATTTTGATATTAATAAAATGTAGTTTATTTCATTAATTAATTAATCAAAATAAAAATTTTAAAATTAAAATTATTTATATTATAAAAATATATATAAAAAAAGATTAATTTTAATTTTTTAATTTAAAAATATTAAAATATTATGTAAAAATAAAAAATTAAAATAAAATATGTAAAATTATAAATAATAGATTTGATATTTTATATCTTTAATATTTTTATTTATAAATATTTTTTTAAGAATTTTATTTAATGTGATATATTAATAAAATTATTTTATTTTTATTTATTTTTTTTTTTAATAATAATAAAAGTGAAATTTTATATCAAATCATTAATTATCTAATTTCAAAATTAAGAAAATAATTTTATGTGTTAAAATTATAAATACTTAAATATTAAAAATAAATTACAGTAAATTAAATTTATAAACTATATATACTATTATTATATAATATTTACAGATTATTTATTATTCAGTGAATTTTATTAATATTATAATTTACTTTTTTGTAAAGCTCTGAACAGTTTGGATTAATCTGAAAATTTTCAGTTCAGATCAACTTTAGTTCAGTTTCAGATTGCAAAAAATTCAATCCAAAAATTTTTGGTTCAATTCGAATTTTTTTGAATTATAAATCTAATTTAAACTGAAAAAAATCTGAATTGAACTGAAAATTTTGAATTAATCTGAAATTTCAGATCGTTTGAAACAATTAAATTTATCGTTCTAAACGAACGATAAAAGAATCGTTTGATTAGAATGATAAAATTATTATTCCAAATGAACGATAAGAAAATCGTTTGATTAGAACGATAAAATTATCATTTCAAATGAACGATAAAAGAATTGTTCGATTGGAATGATCAAAATATTATTTCAAACAAACAATAATAGAATCGTTCAATTGGAACAATGAAATTATCATTCCAAACGAACGATAATAGAATCGTTTAATTGGAATGATAAAATTATCATTCCAAACGAACGATAAGAAAATCGTTCAATTGGAATAATCAAATTATCATTCTAAATGAATAATAATAGAATCATTTGATTAGAACGATCAAATTATTGTTTCAAACAAACGATAAAAAGATAGTTTGATTAAAACGATCAAAATATTGTTCTAAACGAACAATAATAGAATTATTTAATTGAAATGATGAAATTATTATTCTAAACGAACGATAAGAAAATCATTGAATTGGAACGATCAAATTATCATTTCAAACAAACGATTGAAGTTATCATTCCAAACGATCTGAAATTTTCAGTTCAGTTCAGATTTTACCAGTTTATGGTTCAGTTCAGTTTTAGATTGACCTATAATTCGGATTGAACTGAACCATTCAGAGCATTACTTTTTTGTGATATTATTATATCAGAAATACATTATAGATTATTTGCAATAAATTGGTAGACTTTATTAATGAAAAAATGAACAGTTTTATCATATTAGATAAAAATAAAATCAGAAGTAAAGTTTAATAATAAAATTTTTATAATTCATATTATTTGTCAACTTTATATAGATTTAAAATCTTGTTTTAGTTATAAAATAAATGAAAATTCTGTAAATATGTAAAATATCTTCTGAGCAATTAATTATATATATAAAAAATTACTAATAAAAAAGAATAAAATATTAAAGACATTCTATAATAAAATTTGATGAACCTAACATTAAAAAGAATCATTATTGAATATAGATTTTCAGTCTTTTATTATTACTATTAACAAATAAATATCTTGTTTTTAAATTGATACAAAATAGAATACAAAATGAAATAGTGCTGACAAAGGTTTTTTATATCAAAATTTCACTAATAACTATTGTTTAATTGAAATGGTGTAATAAGATACAATATAATTACTCTAAAAGATTTGAAAAAATATTGGATTGTTGAAAATTTGATAATAAAGAACTTTTAGTATCTCTTGTATAATAATACTAAGAGAACTTCAAATTACTAAATAATTGGAATAATCGTAAAATAATAGATAAAATATTTAAAATTTGTCTCAAAAGATATTGCTGTATCAGAACTGGATTGGTATTCAATTTTTGAAAAATTTTAACTATAATTTAACTATTATATTTTTTCTAAAGCAGATTTATCCAAAAGATCATGAGTTTACATTACATGAACTTAGAGCTTAACGAGAGAAGTAGGTTGTCATGATATTGTCTCATGTTTAAAAGAAGAGTTATAGGTATATAACATTTTACTGTTTAATACACAATTTAAAATTTATATATTTACTTGTAAATAATGCTAAAATTCAATATTTTATTTTTAGGTAGAATATTGGACACACTTTTGCTAAATACTCGAGGCAACCAATGTGAGACCAGTCATCGATGTTTGTTTCGTCAAAATAAGAAGTAAGCGCAATTAGAATGTTCATCTATAAGAAAATACCGAGCGGCTTAATTTGTTTCCATGAAAATGATGACATAAAAATAATCACAAGAAAACAGAAATGGGCATTGACAAAATGGATTTCTGGAACAGAGTTATGCCACTCGAAACTAACTAAGGGGATTACAAAGGCTGTAAAGAATTCTAGTAGGTGTGCGATGCCCTCTTTCCAAGCATCGGTTGCAGGGGTCCATATATATGGGTGGGTCCATACAGGCGTAGGATATTGTAAGCCCAGAAATATGACAAAAAAAAATATGCTTAACTCTTATAAGGTCATATCTTCATCCTCAACTTTCTCCGCTTACTAGAAGATTTAATAATGGAATTGTATTTTCGTTAATTGTAAAGAAATGTGGAAGAAGCGTAGAAGGTACTTAAAGATTACTTACCACAATCTTCGTCTCTGAGTTCCTCAACGAAATCCACAATTGCTAAAACTAATCCATCTGCTATTCCCGCGTACTCCCTTGAAAGTATATATTTTTAATCAGCTTGAAGCCAATAAAGATTCCCCGACTGGGATTTTAAAGAATTTTATAATAATGTTATTATTTACAGGCAAAGATAGAAGTAACCTTACAAGTCTTTGTGTATTTTGAGAAAACTTCTATTACTTCTCACATGGCATGACCAATGAAGCAGAATCCATTGTCCTTGACAACACAACCAAATTACCTAAGCTTTCTGGCATATTGATAGCCATGCAAAAACAGAATCCACTGTCTTCATATGCTCTAAGAAGGTAATATTCATTTTTGAGAACGTTGCTCTTTGCACGGCATGACTAATAAATAGAATCCACTATCCTTGACAATACAACCAAATTACATAAGCTTTCTGGCGTATTGCTGACCATGCAAAGGCAAAATCAACTACCTTCGTGTACTTCAAGAAATAACGTTGAATACTGACGAAAACAAATAATGACACATGATATGTCAAGTGAATTAATATGGAAGTCACATGATGATCAACATTATATTATTGTTACGAAAATTGCGTCTTTACCAATATATTTAACATGTCTATCTTTGAGTTCGTTCGAATAAATCTTCAAAACATTGATTTCTTCATACATTTTAAATACATAAAAGACGATGAAAGACTTGCATGGGATTACTATATAAGCACCTTGGCAACATTATCTCAAGATGCAGATATAGAAATTAAAACCTTGGCCAAAAGGAGAAAAGATGAAGCAATGGTATGGCTTACCACTGAAATCTATTGTCTTTTATAGGAATTACGAAAAGGACAGTTGGAAGAGTTTTGGTGAGAAGTTGAAGTTGTGACTGCTGAGAAAATTTTTGTGGCCGAATTGCGCTGTATTCAGGTCTTTAAAATTTTAATTTTGACTTAATTATTATTCAATCTTATTCGCTGATTTGCGTCATTTCAACTCCTATAGCTAAAGAATCAAGTAGTTGACGCTAAAAGATATCATCTACAATTTAATTCAGTATCCGATCAAGTGAACAAAACATCCTCACTACTTATTTCAGATGAAGTAGCTATAGACCAGGTATTTTTTTTATTTCCTAAAGTTGAAGCCTTGATTATCCTTACGCTTCTCATTTCGGTAACATTCTTCATATATATAGCACAAACAAGATGATGTCATAACACGTAAGAAAAAGTCGGAAACCCTTGAAGAGAATGACTTTTACGACAATTACGAAGAAATTGTAGATGACATACAAGATAATATTCTTATTGTGGACAACATAAATGTCCGCTTAAGAATAGAAGAATGGCGCAAAAATTCTGAACATATTTATGAAATACATAAGCAGGAGTATGTTTATCGATGACCTCTTTCAATATAAAAGTAATATGCTTATCAGTAAGTTTATTTCACAGTTTGTTACGTTACAATATAATCGATACGATCAGTATTCAGCAACAGGGACGAGAAATAATTTCGGTGATATTTGGAGTACATTAATTGATGCTATGGAAACTGTAACTTCATATTCCATAACGAATTGTGATGATGAGATTAACAATTACGGCAAAAATGTTTTGAAAAATGTGGTAAGTAGGAGTTATTTTAACAATGAACACAGTTTTTATTGAATACTAATTTTTTATTATTTGACTTCTATTGAAAAACTGAAATTTTCAATTAAGTCAAATCGGTCCATTTTAAGGACAAATGATAATTCTAAATGTTTGAAAAGACAAGTCCTAAATATATTGAAGGTTTAGTAAGTGTATTGGTATTTTTTTACACTACTATTGAATTTGTGTTAATATTTTAATATTGACAATTTTCACAGGCGTGATCAATTTGTTAATGGAAAAAATTCTTTTAAGGACGAACAAGCTGAGTACCAATACATAATAAACTTTATTTCACCGATCTTCAAAATTCTATTTAAAGATCTTGGATATTTAGGTTTCGATTGGTAAACTTCAGTATGGTTAATTTATTATTTGTTCTTTTTTATTAAAATTATTTCTGTTTTAATACAGGGGCGAAAAAGCATTAAAATGTTCAGCGATTTTATTAAATAAATCTCAAAGAGATGATAAACGACGTAACATTGGTAGCAAAATTGATACCATTATAAAATTGGGTCCAAATAACAATTCCAAATAAAAATAAACATTTTTAATTTAATGTAATAGTACTGTAACTTTGTTCAGATGAAACTTTATCTTTAGGTAATTCATAAGATAAAATTTATAAATCTAAATTTGATAAAAAGAAATATGGTAAATAATATTTAATAATATTAAAAAAATTTATAAAATATATTTATTAAAAATGATCAAGTTTTTTTATTTTAATCTGATAATATAAAATCTATTTGAAATAAATATAAAGATATATCAAATTCTTTCATAATGGTGATAATAATAATTTTATTAAACAGAACTGTATTATAAAGACCCATATGTAGTTATTCTAGAGCATCTTTGAAAATTAGGTCTCATTGAATTGTTATATATGTGTATTATTTTTTTTAATAATAAATCAAATCTTGAAATATAAACTGCTTTGCATGCTGATCAGTCAAGAAAAAAATTTTTTTGAAGTTCAAATTGTGGGTAGACTTTAATATTTTTATTAATATATTATCAATTTTAGTTACAAGATCAAAATAACTATATTGCATTGTTTGTATATACAAACTTAAAATTTATAAAAACTGTAATTATTATAATTAAATTAAAACATAACATATAACATATAAATTTATCAGGTCTTAAAAATCGAAAAAAATAAATTAGTTTAAAAATACAAAAGCAAGTCAAAACTAAAAGCTTTAACGAGTTTGTGCTTTCTTATTAGTGAATGAATAGATAATTTGTATGATCATTTTTTAACGGATCTTACTCTAATTATTATCACTTTACAGAAAATCTTGTATAGATTCTAAACTTTCAGATAATAAATACTAATTATATAAATGTCAATCTCATATTTATATATATATTTTTTTAATTATCTAAACATACCTCATATTTTAATAGACCTGTTACTATTTCGTATAATTTTTCATATCTTTCCATGATTTTGAAAAAAAAATTTTTAATACTTTCATCATTGTGTACACTTCAACATATTTGAGATGAAATTCATAGATAGTCAACTGATTTACTGTAAATATTAAGAATATAAGAATTAATAATGAAAAAATTAAAAGTGATTAAATACAAATAAGAACTTATAATACAACTGTATGATATAAAGTCTAAGCATTTTATATTAGAATTCAGATAAAATTCTGTTAATTGATTCATTAATATCTTTAGCATTTTTATGATCTTTATTTGATCTTCTTTAAAAATGATCTAATCTAATTTTAATAGAAGTCCACTGACTTCAATAATGAAAAATTCTTTATCCTTCTCTTTCAAAGTAATGATTGTGTCTATTTTTTAAAAGATCTTCTTCCTTTTGAGTATTACATTTTTAATGCTTACTTTAAGGCAAATCTCCCATATTTATACACTAATTCTCTTAATGTTTTATAAAAATTTGATCTAAAATTAGACCTAGAATACTAATAATATAGATTCCTTTAGATATCAGTTCTAGAAGTAAATTTATCTCTTCAATCAACTTTATCTTGTATAAACAATAGTTAGTTTCATTTCATTAAAGATAAGAATAAATATAAATAAATATTCATATGTGTTCTATAAAATTCAATGTGAAATCTCTTTCAAAAGAATTATTGTGATTTTTATATTGTTGAAATGTATTTTTAGTATTGTTGATGTCACACATAATAATTTTACTTAATATCAATTTGATTTCCTATTTATTTAAAATTTCTTTTCTTTGCTTATATTTTAAAGCATTTGCTAAACTGTATCTTTTTTATTATCTAAAAAACTATTTCTATCTTTAATATTAAAAAAAATTATGTCATAATATTTAAGTTTTGTTTTCAGCAAATTTTTTTTTAGTTGATATTCTATTAATTTTTTTAAATATTAAAACTATTGATAATTCAAGAAACATTTTTTCCTCTAATGATAATTTAGTTCATATTATATTCTTCTTTAGTATTATCATCTTCTTCAGGCTTATAATTATATTTCCTACCTTATGAAAAAAAAAATATGAGAAAATTTGATTCAAATTGTTTATATACTGAAGAAGCTTTATAGAATAAAAGTGGATTATCTTTATCTTTTGATAATTTTGATAGTAAATTATAATGTGTTAATATTAGTATAAAATATGTAAAATTAGATTATAAAAAGAAGAATTAATTAAATTTGAATATTATCTTTATAGAACAATTATGATTATAGTCCTTATCCTTACTAATAGCAATTTAAAGAACTGTTGTAATATTTATCATTATAGAATAGATAGTACTTATTTATACAATTAGAAAATAAAAATTAATATAAAAGTAAAAATATAAATACTAAGTATATTGAAAAGTTTAAAAATCCATTTAAAATTCTATAATTTGAAGATACAGATAAAGAGAAAGCAGAAGAATTAAAAAAGTAAGAAAAATAAAAGAAACAAGAGAAGAAAGAAACAACTAACTTAACTGAATATTTTATACTATAGTTATAAAATGAAAACTATTACAATTTATACCAGTATTCTCTCAATAATAAACAATACACAAATATAAGTTACTATAGGCCATCTTATGCAAAAGAAATCATAGAATTCCTTTAAGTAAATAATGATTTTTTGCTTTCTATCATAAAAGTAAAGAATAAATTTATTCATGTTTTTGCTATTCTAAATGTAATAAATACTTTCCAACTTTCATCATTTTGATAAATTATAAACAAACAAAGCATTCTCATATATGATTTAAAGGAAAATCTAAAAGTTAAATTAAGCAAAATTTTTGACTATTGATAATTTTTCGCTTCTTTCTTGATAATAAGAAGAGAAAATTCTTCTATTAAATAAAAGATCTTTAAAAGAATATATTTTAGATAATGAATAAATATTTTATATATATATATGTGTAAATTTTAAATGTATATATTTTATATTTATATGTTTTAAATATATATGTTTTAAATCAATATTGAGTTTTAGACATATTTTTGATTTTAAATATTTTGGACAAAGTTTTGGATATATAAAAATATGTTTATAACCTGTCTATAACTTATTCAAAATTGTCCAAAATTGTCTAATTTTCTAACATTGTTTTAAATATAATATATTTTAAATATATGCATTCTATTTAAATAATATATATTAATAAATTTGCTAAGCTACAATTATCAACAATTATGTAATTAATTTATTATATATTAAATAACTATATTACGTAATAGTTTTTAATATATATAATTTAAGAATTTCACTTATTCTTACTTCCTAAAAAATTACCTAATAAATATTATTACTTTAATTGAAAGTCAGAAAGTTTAAATGTATGAAAAGCTCATAGTTTCAAGAATATGCTAATTACTAATATGATTTTTAGAGTATTTGATATTAGTATAATAGTCACTTTAGTTTATTTTATCAATAAAAAATAAAAGAAATTTTTAGTAATATATACTATTAACATAAAAATAATAAAATTTTGAGATTCTTTAAAAGTTTCATGATATTTTTGTGAAATTATAAGAGAAATTATAAAAAATTAGGATTCTCTAAAGATTTTCATAATATTTTTTGCAAATTTGAAGAGAAATTATAAAATTTGCAATTCTTGTAATTTTTTTTGCAAAATTTAAAAAGAAATTGCAAAAGTTATAATATTCACAATTTTTTTGTCATATTTAAAAAGAAGTCATAAAAAAATTGTGATTCTCTAAGAAATTTACTATATTTTTATAAATCACTTATAGATTTCGCAAATTTATTGTGATTTTTTAAGAGTTTCATATATAATCAAACTAAAAATTTTTAGATTAATTTTTATGCAAACTGAAACTGATTTAAATTATCGTATGACAATTTTTGTAATACTTTTCTCCTGTAAAAATATTTTTTTGATTAGTTTCAGAAATCTTTAATAAGATATACAAATTTAACAATGATTTATCATTTATAAAATCATTTTTTAGATTCAAAAGTTATTGTAAAAAACTATAATAATTACAAAAAAGTTAAATTCTTTACAACTAAATTATAAAAAAAATTATTATTTATTATTTTATAATTCTTTTACATCCAAAATTATAAAAAATATAATTATAATTATTAAATGAAATCTAATGTTTAAAAATTTTTATAAATATTTAAATAAATTTTTTGAAATGAAATTATTTATTAAAATAGTACAAAAAATAATAAAAGTGCATTAAAAGTAAGAATAATAAAAAAATTACAAAGACATTGATATATTCAAGAAAAATTAAAAATAATTATATTTTATGAAAAAAATGAATTTAGTATGCGTAAAATATATAAAAAATTTAATATCTAACCAAAACAATTAAAAATTGAATAAATAAAAAAAAGATTTAATTAATATATTTTTAAGAATATTTAAATTACATAAAGGAAAATTATCTAAATATTTATAATTAGAAGATATTTTATTTGATTGAGTTACAAAATAATAGCAATTACAAAATCTTATTATACAATTATTAATAATTACAAAAGCAATTTTACTTGTACAAAATACAAATCTTCAAAATTTACCAAATATATAAATATTTAAATTTTCTAACAAATAGCTTAATGGTTTTTTAAATCAATATAATTTATCAATTAGACATCATATAACTATTGTGAAATGTTTACCTAAAAATCTAGAAGAAAAAAATACAATTTTTAAATGATATTTCAGATAAATATAATTAATATAATTATTTTTACATTTAATTAAAAATATGAATGAAACTTCTCTTATTTTTGATATATCTAATCCAATAATAATTAAAAAATATAGTATTTATACAGTTAGCATTAAAACTACAGATAATAAAAAAAAATTTAATGTAATTCTTGAATGTATAGCTAATAGAACAAAATTATCTTTAGTTATTATTTTCAAATTAAAAAATATATCTCAAAAAACTTTTTCTGAAGATATATTTATTTATGCGAATGAAAAGTTTAGATTAATAAAATGAAATGTTATGGTAGATTGAAAATATTTTGACTAAATGATCTTATTAAATGATTTGCATTTTCTTTTA